ATAAATAAACATATATATAATAAATATAAACTGGATGTACGAGTTAACCGTTTTACACAAATTGTCTAATTTGAATTTGAGAATGTTCTGTATTCACAAAATATTTATATTTTTACCTGTTATATATTGTTAATTCATATATTTTTACTAACACAATTTTTATACTGTAATTAAATATCATAAATAATAAGAATAAAATTAACAGTGTTTATAAAAATATAAGATAAGAATTTTTGTTATTAAAGGGAGTTATTAATAATATCGAAAATCAAGCTTATAGTCCCTTTCTAATTTATTTATAATTTATAATTTTACAATTTTAAATTAATATGCTACAGTTTCTATGCTCAATTTTTTTCGATCTAATATAATAATACATCAGATCGATAGCAGCATACATATTTTAATTAATATATTATCATTTTTAGAAAATTGAAGGTTATTAAATAATTTTCATCATAATGAATGCATATAGATAAAATGGTAATTGATTCTGTGTATATTTACAAATAATTATTCAATTATAGTTCAACAATACTAAATATTTCAAGTGAAATATTCTCGTATTTATTCGAAATAAAGGATAAATTAAAAACGTACTACAAATAAAATATCAACTGCAAATCCTAATATTACATTTTAATTGATAAACATTGCACATTTACTAAAAAAAAATAAAATTATACATCGGTATAATTATCCATAATATACAGTTAAGTGTAAGTAGAAATTTATTTCTCTCATTTTATCATCTTGTAGCTGAACAATAAGAGAAAAATCCCACATACTGGAAACAATGCCACATCAATTTATATTTTTAAAAGTTTGCGGCAAGCATACGACCAAATAAGAAAGGCGATGACACGCCGAGAATACGAACATGTACAAGCATGTGCGCGCATCGGTATTCTTGTTGACAATAAATCGAGGACGAACTGAACGTTCGTTCATTATAACCGATTGCTGCCTTCAGCTCATGATTTACAGGGCGTAGACCCAAGCAATTACAGTATTAAAAAAAGGTAAGACCGCCTCGTTGATTTCTTACTTAATCACTGCTATCTTGATGCTTCCGTTTACTGGTTAACTTATATCGAAGCCCGTGCATGCATACGTACTTATTAAATTTTAATATCCTTTCACCCAATTAATTATTAAAGAAACAACATACATATTTTGAAAATTGATACATATTCATTTTACTGCTACATAGTTTAGAGTATTATAAATACGACGAATAAAAATAACCTATGACAAAAGAAATTATAAATATTATAAAGTATACATCAGCACAGTTAAAGTATAAAAAGCGGAAAAGTATAAAAAGTATTATTTTATATCTTTAGTAATATTTCACACTTATTTAATTTTATAGTTCTAAAATATCAAATTTGTATTTTACCTACAGTTGTATAAACGTAAGGATATATATTTCTATAAAAAGATTATTATTTACATGTATATATTTCTCTTATATATCTTCAAAATAAATAAATTTAATTAATTTACCCAGAGATAAACTGAACCATAAATTAAATTATAATAAGGAAGGGATCAATAATAAATCCGATCATGCCACTTAACTAACTTTTTATTTATGATAATTGAAGGTTTAAATTTAACAAATACTAAGTTATAAATTGCACTAATAATATATATATATATATATATATATAGAAAATTTGGTATACATAAATAGGTACATTAAGAGTAAATTGAGGTCTTTTTTTAATTTTCTCTCTTTCTCCATTGCATATCTCACACAGATTTTATTTTGAACAAAATATTACTATTTAAGATATTGCATTACAATTCCTAAACAAAGTACGGATCTGAAATTAAAAAAAGGAATAATTAATAATGCATAAGCTTTAAATATATAAAAATATTTTCAATAATTTTACTATTCTAATATTTAATATGTAAAATGCTTAATAAAACAGCATTATATAATACCATAAATTTTATATCTATAATTATTTTTTAATCTTAAATAACAAGAGAATTATTTTATATTACAATATATTAGAAAAAATATTTTTAAAGAATTTGAAAATTATTTTTAATATTTTTCCAGTAATTTAATTAAAATAAAAATACTTAAGTAGATAAAATATAGTATTTTAATACATAAATCTATCTACATAAATAGACATTTTCTGAAATTGTCTTTTTTATTTATAACATTTGAAATCTATTTCATTTCCATAAATATAACAAAAATGTAAAATTCAGTTTAATAAATGAATCAGTATAGAAATATAGAATAGAACACTACAATTGAATTAATGGATTAAATACAGCTACCATTTAATAATCTATTTAACCCATAATTTTAATATTATTTAAACTAATGTTACATAACACACATAATGTCACACTCGGACATTTTACTAGTTTTTTTAGTACTCGTTAATATTTAACAAATCACTATAATGTAATTCAAATGATTGATAATTGCATTTATTTGTACACAGATTTATTACGATAAAATATGTATATAATATATTTTTATAAAAATTTATCATTGAACATTTCTATTAAATTTTGAGCTACGTATATATTTCAACAATATTTTTAATTATATTAAATTATTATAAACATTTTGTAATAAAACATCTCTTTTACTAAAGGTAGTTTGGTGTAAATGAAGTAACTAATAGACAGCAGTGGACATAAATTGCAGTATGCGAATGTTAATAAATAGATTTACAAATCGTAACTATTGAATTTTCTCATACAACAAATAAACCACAGAGGAATCGAACAACTTCAAATGAATATCTCGTAAATTATGAATGAATCGGTTTTAAATCCAGTGCTGAATATAAATACAAAGACACTTTCTGTTAATTCAGATTTGTGTACATACAAGCTTCTATATTTAGTAACTTGTATCAAAACACGTATTTTCTGAAAAATGAATTAAAATGCCCTGCATTTAACTGGTAATTCTCGGTATTTTGAATAATTTTATTGTATAAAAGATTAAACACGTAACAATAATGAATTTCATTATTTTATAAATTTATTTTAATTATTTATAAGCACTGGGAAATACTCATTGAAATATTTTTAATATCATCTATTTAATAATAAAATAAAATTTCATTTGAAGATTAAAATTTTAAAATAATTATTTAATATTTTAAATTGAAAATTAATTCTCGATAAAAAAAAATACAAACATTGTAAGAATTAATTTTCATTAAATTCTAATTAATTAACATTTACAAAATTTCCCTATATAAATACTTTTGTGATTCATGTGATAATAATATTGCTTCATATTAACATCTACAGTTTATGAATCATCTTAAACAAATACTAATATTTATTATTATTTTAATGTTATTTTTTGCATTTTGGTCACAATGCTTTTTAAGAAAAAATTTTAATATTTTGTTACAGTAGATGCGATTCCTAGCTGCCGGCCAGAATGTATATGTATACAAATATGTATATATATATATATATATATATATATATATGTCGGTTACGAATTTGTGTGAAAGGTTATTATTTATTTTTTAAAAATGCATATTTATTGTTTTAAAGTACAAAAAATAATATATGAAAAAATTGATAATTTTGTTGGGTCATTAAATTTTTATCGGTTTATAAAAATTATAATAGAGATTTTAATTTATATGACCCAGAACTCGATATTCTGATTAAATTCTTGTAGATTATTGTTTGTATCAGATTCTGTCAGTTCTATATATTTTATTTTCTAAATAATATAATAAGCAGATATTCTATATTGTTAAATATAATCATTTTGATCAAACGAAAAATATATAATATTTAAATATTATGAAAACCATATCTATCAGAAAAATAAAATAATGTTTAGAACATTTATAAAATAAAGCTATTTATTTTATTTTAGAGTAGAATGTTATTTTAGAATGTGTGCAATTCTATGATGATTCACATTACTGATCGATACAGTACATAAGAATTACGGCTTTAAATTTAAATGGCATAGTAGCATAGTATAAATGCATATTAATATAATTTCGGTTTTCAATATAAATTATATTCTATATATATTCTATATTCAATATAAATTATAAACTATATTCTCTGTTTTAATTTACTTTGGTACTCTATATAAACTTAAAAAACAGAATATATACTTAACAAACATACTATTATCAGTTAAGTAATAATTAATATTAAATCGAAAATGTATTAAATAATTATTAGAAACTTCTATCCAGTATTTTAATGAAAAGAAGTCAGAACAAATTATCGTTATGATAGATGTAACTGATAGTACACATAAATTTTTCATACATTATTTTAAAAACTTCAAAAAGTTTATTATTTAATTTGTAAATAAATGGCCTATTAAAAATATTAACTTAACGCAATATATTCTGTATAAACAGTAAGATGTATTCTTTTCATTTGGTACTATTAGAACTTCTCACTAACGATATTACGAAATAATCTAAATATAGTATAATACTCTAAAGAAGTATTAAAAAATTCAATAATTGTTTCAAATATTCGAAATAACCTAAACAATTATTTTGAAATTGTCATTATCCACAATTTAAATGTTTGTGCATACAAAATGATGTTATATTAAATGAGCATGGAATTGGATTGAAAGTAAATCAAACATTATAGAAGCTATAGAATTAGATAATCATTATTTTTAAATTACACATAATATAATGTATTAGCGTAAATGGCTATGCTTCTAAATAAAATATTTAATAGTATCGATATATAAAAATTATGAAAAATGATAAAGGAATTTTAGTATAGAAACAACTCATAAATTATTAATTAATAATTATTATTATGAAACTATTTATTAAAATATACCTATTGAATATAATTAACAACTATATTAAGACTATTAAATATAAATTATATAGGAATATTATATTTCAATGAGCAGAATATTCGAATTTTAATTAATACATTATTTAAATAACCTTTTAGTATATTTCTATTCTAATACACTTTCAATGTATTTACAGACGGAGCAATTTACTGTATTGTGGCTGTTATTTGCTGTAATTGTTGTTGGAAATACAGCGGTACTTGTCGGATTATTATTTGGAAAAAGGAGAAAGTCCCGTATGAATTTTTTCATCAAGCAATTGGCTTTTGCAGGTAAGGTTGTAATTACTATAAAAATGTTATTAATTTGAAAAAAAAATTAAAGTAAAATTCTTTTAATTTTATATTTTGAGGTATACAAATTTATACGAATATACTTGAAAGATTAATTAACATTCCGTAAAGAATAAAAGTCTTCATGAGATCTACACGTATATATATTATTATTTAAATAGGATTTTATCGTATGTATACAGTTTCTTTAATTGCTGAAAGCTAGGTGTTATTAATTATGGGCACCTACTTTTCTATTTATCGATACATAAAAATCTGAAGGTGGAAACTTATAAAAATGTACTTGTGTCTTAAGAATTACTGTGAAATGCATTTTCATAAATAAATTGATTAACCTATATTTTATTAATTGAATTTTTAATCATAACATATACAATGATTGTCTAAAAATTTCACATGTATATTGTGTAAGGGAAATAATTCTTTGAAAATTTAATATGGAACTATAAGTTTTTCTATTAAAAAGTATATTAAAGTTCGGCGGATGTATTAAAAGATCTGAATTATGAGTATTGAATTATGAATCAATGATTTATAATTGAAGTTTAAAAGGTAATCGTTACTTACTATCAAATAATACTTTTTCCATATTAAAAAAAAAATATTTTGCGAAATTTTGAAAAGACATTATTTTATAAATTGTTTCTTAAAAATTCATTATATTTATTTTTGTTTTAGTAGTTTGTAATTTTTTAAATACAAATTTTTATTTTTTATCAATTTTATTTCAAATATATTAATCGGAAAATTAATTATTAGAACATAAATATTTATCTACTAAACCAATTAACCAAATGTAGTAAAGCTAATTTTATTTCAGTAGACTATAAAAAGTCTTTTAAAATTTCATGCATTAAATTATATATTCAATAGGAATATAATATATGCCTCTAATAGTTATTTTTCTATCATCTTAGATTCTGTATACAAAGTGTATTTATATTTATTTTTAAAGAATAGAAAAAAGTTTAGAATTTTATTATTCTATTCCTAAATTCAAATAATATATTTTATTTATAATAATACTTTATATAAATAAGAATTTTTATAGAAATTTATACAAGTTATCATTCATTTTAATACTTTTATTTTTATTTTTATCTTTATAGTATATATAATACTTCTATCCTTATTAATTTCGAATTTCGAAAAATTCTATTCTTATTAATTTCGATAAAAGCCTAAACGGTTTATATCATTAAAGAAATCGTCAAATCGTAGTATTACGAACATCTTTGTATTTATTCATTAAATGTTTTCCTTGTTATTTTCAAAAATCTTGCCCATAAAAAATTTTAATTGATAAAAAATAAAAAATGTCAGTTACTTTCAATAACTTTTGAAATACAATATTACAGTTAAATTTTTTTAAATATATTACAAATTTGTTTTGAGTCAAACTATATGTAGTATCGTCTAGAATTTTAAATACATACATTTATTCTAAATTTATATTGTTATAATATATATAAACTAATAAACTTAAAATAATTTGAAAGAAAAAATATAATTATTTAATAATTATGATAGTGTTAAAAAATAAAAATTGCAATTCAATAATATTATTATCTAAAAGCCGTATTATATTAAATCAAAACAAAATTGCAATTCAAAAAATATTCATTCCAATTGATAATAAATGAAAAAAGTAGTATTTAATATTATTGTCCGGTTTTTACCTTAATTATTTGAATCTTTCTTTTCTGACAAGCATTTTCTTTAAATATTTTATATTTCAATTTTGTATATTTTATATACCAACATAAGAATTCATTTTAATCTCTATTATTTAAACATTATTATTTTCATAACAATATAATATATATTATTTTAAAACTTTTTAAATTATTGAATTTTTTTAACATATAAACTTTTATATTTCTATTATTATTGTATTTATACTTTTTTACTAAATATGTAATTCATTAGAATAATGAAATGTTATTGCAATGTACTTTATTTTCGAATTCTTGAAAATATATTACAGAAAAAACTACTAGGTTATTTCCATTACTTAACTATGATTTGTTTCAGTTCTTTTAATTCATCTTAATTTATAAATTTATAATATAACATAACGAAATTTCCATAGCTGAAATTTAAAAATACTAATAATTTTATTGTTTTATTAGTTGTCTGACTTTCTTTTTAACTTTTCCTATTACAACGTTAACTTTTTAATGCTATTTCATCTTCCATATGTAAGTTGAAAATTTTAATTTCACAGTGTTATTTACTGTATTACCCATAATTCTCTACAAACCATTGTTGAGTATTTTCTGTGAACTTACTTTGCAGCTTCATTGACTCTTTTTATTAATGTTTATAAGTAATGCTTCTAGTTCGTTGCAATTTCTAGCTGACTTTAACTCATATAGTACTAAAAGTCGATTAAAAATTCAACTTAGAACCGATCTCCTTTTGTTCCGTGAATAAAATGTATCTACAAATCAGAACTCATATTAAATTTACTTATTTTTAACTATTTTAAATATTATGATTTATTATCACCTGAATAATATTGTAAATTATTCAGGTGATAATAAATTCAAGTTTATACTTTCTTATATTCTAATTAATCTTAATTGAAAATAAAAAGAAATATACTGCAGACAAAACCAAAATTAAAAAGTTGAACAATACTTGGAACATTTGTATGTACTCCACATTATCCATTAAAGAAAAGTAACTATTTTCTGGATACATTCACAATTTCACATATTTCCAATACAAAAATGGCGCAGCATAATTACAAATCTATTGATCTAGAAGTTAAATTTAATTAGTTAGATTTCTAAATCACCTCTCTACACATATTATTCCTTTATAAGTACAGTTTTAATTTATCTATTAACCTATATACTAACTATATAAGAAAGTCCAATTATTGATTAATTGTAAAAGATATTTATAGATATATAAGATAATATCATACACACAAATAAGCATATGTACAAAAAAATTTATAAATTTTTGTGTCAATTTATCCAATTAAAAAAGATATCTTATATATCTAAAAAATATCTCTTTTCATAGAAACAATAATTTTGTTTCCGATTTTTTCATATAATACAGGAACCATATTATAATTTTTAATGGCATAATATAATCCCATAATATCATCAGATAGATATATTTTTAATAAATAAAACGTAAATTATAATATATTTATTTACAAATACAAGCTTTCAAATTTCAAAATTTTAAATTTTACTTCTTAAATACTAATATTTATATATTTAAATTGATAATAAAATTGATTGATAATTATTATAAGCAGTTCAAATTATAAAATTATTAAATTATATATATATAATCTTTCTGCGACTATTTTAGTTATTTTATTATTAATTTAATTTAACTATATAACTATTATAATTTGATTAAATAATTTTTTATAATACAAATAATGACAAATAACTTCATTATTAATATGATTAGTATTTTTATTTTTATATTTCTTAAATTTGTATAGACTTATATATTTAATTTATGATGTAAGTATGTACTTTATATCATAATTGGTTTAAGATAATTAGGTTTTTATTTCAAATGAATTTATTGAGATGGCTTATCTACTATTACCAACACTAGATCATAGCAAAGATCAGGGTATTTTTCCAATTCTTATTTCATTCTACTCTTCATCTTATTTCCTCTCTACCTGACCATTGTTCCATTATCGTTAAATATATATGTAAGAATATATATAAAGAGAAGAATATGGTATATAATGCAATCATTGTAAATTTGTAATAAATTTGAAATAAATTCCTTATAAGGAGGTGTAATATGTGTATCAAATAGTAAAGTGAAATAGTGGATATTATTTCCTAATTTATCGCTATCATCTCTGTGAATAATGACCGAAGTATTTTTAAAGCTTTTATGAAATAATAGAAAATAAAAATAGAGCCTATAAATTTTTTTGGAATTTGATGAGTTTAGTTTAAATATTAGCTTATAAAATTATATGAATTTCATTTTTTTAATAATATTTTTATAATATCTTTAATAATAGTTCATAACTGGTAAATATATAAGAAATAAAATTTATAAAATTAAAATTGTTATTATAATTTTATTAGGTTCAGCCACTTGTATAACAATAATATTTAACTTAATAATATTTTTGTTATTACGAGAATTTTGTATTTTCATAAAGATGTAACCATATTCCAAAATTGATGATTATCCCGAATAAAAGCAGTTTGCTATAAATATATATATCCCAAAGTATATATCTGCAAAGGATATATAACAAGACAGTATATAGGAGTGCTCCATGTAGATAACAGAAAATGAAAGGCTGAGAACTAAGAAAAATACACATTGTACCCTGCTCGACTTTCGGTATTCGGGATAAGTTAGATTGGTATCACCTACTCCTTCAATTATCTACAAAAAATTTTTCTTGTTCTACTTTTTTGTATATAGAGTTTCTTATTTCGGGCCTTTATTCATTTTCATTTCATTCAATATTTCTTTCAGATACTGTTTCTTATTTCATATTAAATTCGGATGTTTATTAGTTTATAATTTTTATGTAAATTATATAAATCGAAGCATGTCAAATTTAAATGCTATAAAGATAATACATTATATAATCCAGCTTACATACTATATATATTATTTGTATTTAAATTAAAAAATATAAAAATGTTCATAAATATTTTGTACTCTCCATATAAACATAGCATATTAATTGTTGAATTCAAATTTACATAATTTTAAGTAGCTTCTTTTATTAATTCTAAATATTCCTCTAATCTTAAAATTATAAAAAATTAAATTCTATTAATTTTCAACAATAAAAATTGCATAGATTGAACATATTAAATAGAAATTTATCTACTATTTAAAAAATTAATTTAACATTATTTTATTTAAAAAACATTATATCATAAATAACATCATAAATATTATTACACTTTAAATGTTGTTTTAAATATTAAAAATCTTATCCAATTCGAAGCGCA